AAAAAAAAAGAAAAACATATATAAATATATAATTAAATAATTAGCTTAACGTTAAGTAATCATAAAGGTTTACAGTATCTAATAATAATATATACAGTGTTATTATGGGACAAGTTGTAATGATACAGTTTGAGTATTGTATACATTTTATATGTTGCAAGATTCTATACAGAAGGAAAGATACATAATGAAATGAATCAAAACAGCCTCCCCCACCCCAATCCACCACCCCTGGTTTTTTACTTAACTAATATTATTACAGAATGAAGGTAAAAAATCAAGTAATACAAATTGAAACATAAGCCCCAATAAAACAACGAACCGGTACTTAACTAATATCACAAGAAAGTGATATTTCAAAATACAAATCAAAACATAGTTCTCAACAGTGAACTGTACTTAACCAAAAATCACAAAAAGAATGTAAAGCACAAAATACAAATCAAATCAAAGACTCTAACACTAAATTTCACAAAGTAAAAGAGAGGATTTTTTTTATAGAAAAATCTGAGTCTGAATTTTAAATCTGACAGGTTACAATACGAACTTCCAACATCATCATGTATGCCCCGGTATTTACACAATACATTAAAAAAACATTATGCACATTTGGTTTGTTCATGTGTTAGAATGGTTGTTTGAATATGATAAAACACATTGAAGGCTCATAATAGGTCAACTGATTATTTCCATGTTTAAAATAACTGTACACATTTTATTTAATTTTTACATGGAGCCATAATTTTTTAATATTGTAGGTTTTGTAAAATCAGTGATAAGTCAAATATTTAATTTGTCTTGTTGGCCGAAAACGACGATGCAAATATAGTACTAATATTGATCAGCATATTCAGGTGAAGAAACATAATAATCGGCTACACTTTTATACAGTGTTGTGTTTCGTTCGGATTTGTTAATAACATTTCATTTTTCCCCAAAATTACACTTGTTGGCAACACTTCTCACATATTTTACTATTACTTACATTTTCAAACTTAAATTCAACTATGACACATCGTAACTACATATCTGCAAAACTTACACTTTGAGGATTATGATTTTTCAGATTTTACAAATATTTGGTTTGGAAATGCTGAAAACAACTTTCATATAATTATTTTTATTTTCTATTTGTAAATACCGAAAAGCAATTTCAAATATTACTAGTTGAGCTTTTGAATTTCTATTTTACTTAACTGTTTAAATTTGGTTGGAATGTTTGAAATTTTACAAACATTACGCCAAAACTGATTCCAAAAACAATAATAACAGTAAGGATAAATTATCTGGTACTATGGCAAAATACATAAGCTGACACTGCCCAACAAAATGATACTAATCTGCTGACATTGCCTAAAGGCACATCCATTTACCGCGTTTATAAATAAAATTACTAACACTATATCTTAAACCGTCCAACTGTTGAGATAGGCCTACTGTTCGTTGGAGGTCAGGAGGAATTGAACAAAATCGATCAATAATTACAATAATTTTCTGTTTATATTAATTTAATATATAAATTATCAATACGTTTCTCTTTAATTTAAAATTTTAAAAAATGTAAACGGATGAGTTCATCAATTAAAATGGAATAGTCTGGAATCAGGTAGCTAGAGAGTTGCTGAGATTGAATGTACGTCATTTTTAGCCTATAATTTTTTTGATGCAGTTGGATAAGGCTGTGTCGACCTCAAAAACATCACCGAGATTGACTCTGGCAAATTGTTTTATACATTAACTCACACAATAGAACATGTATGTTTTGGTTAAGCAAAAATCGTCACAATAAGCCTGAATAATTTGATATTTTGTCTTGATGGACTACTAAAGTGCAGGTATCCACTTTGCGGACTCAAATGTTGATGTGTATGTCAAAAGTAAACAGGATCAGTATTTTTTCATTCTGATAGTAAATACTGTGAAGAGACGACATAGTTATAATCGCAAGATGATCAACTATAGCGACATACCTTCTAACGGACAAGTATGTTTGTATTCTAGTGGTGGTTTAGCTCTTTTCATTTATAACTATCTGTATTATAATAGGAAACATTTTAGTTATATATGCAATATTCACAAGTAATACACTACAGACAACCACTAATACAGTTGTGGCAAGTCTCGCGTTAGTCGATCTTCTGACAGCATTGAACGGTATTGCAATGATGGTGCCATTGACTACGGAAGGCATCTGGATTGAAGTTGACGATGGAACTCTTGCTTTCTGTCAATCTATATTGTGTGTTACAACAATAACTGTGTTGAATATAATGTGGTGCTTGTCACTCTCTCATCATGTGCTGTTAGCTGTTGAAAGATATTTGGCTGTCTTTCATCCATTCTTTCATCTGAGTAGAGTCAACAATGTTTTTTTAAAGAAGGTTATTATCATTATATGGATCTCTATCGTATTCTCTCAAATATATGGTACAATATATTATTATATAGGCCTGGAACTATGGTATTTATGTATTCAGATCATTATTCTGGTAGGTTCGCTTACGGTAGTTTGCTTTCTACATATTCGAATATTCGTAAAAACTAGAAAAACGTTGCGGCAAATAGCATCCACGCAAATAACATTTCAAGATGCCACGACACCAAGACAGAACTACAAAGCTTTGAAAATGACGTCTTTGATTTTATGTGGCTTTTTCAGTTGCACAATTCCGTGTACAGTAGTTACTATATTGACAGTATTTGGACGATTTAGGTGTGTTTCCGAGTTAGGCTCCTTTATTTTATTTTATTTTAATTCAGCTTTGAATCCGATTATATACGCTGGTTGTAGTCAAGCTTTCCGGGAAGCCTACACAACAGTAATACGAAGAAAATGTTTCGCCATTTAGGGATCACGAAAAAAAAGGTTTACTGATGGCATATTAGATCAAATGTTTAAATTTATAATAGACCTAGGCTATGTATCCTAAAATATTAATGTATTTTTACTATCAGTAGTATAAAATTTCACTATGTTTACAGAAAATTGTACATTTCATTCATATCATATAGCTAAAAAAATAAACTTAAGTCCATTATGGTCGTACTTAAAATATTATAAGAATTCGTTAGACTATGTTATTTTATATCAAAGTGTCTTAAGACATGAGATACTCCAAAATTTGAAAGCTGGTCAGTCTTAGTTGTTCAAATGTTGCCATCAGTTTCGTTAGGCCGGGCACATACTGCGTCGTACGACTACTGTTGCCTGGTATGACTAGATGTTGTTAGAACAAAGTAGTAGTCTTAGGTCTATAATTTTATGAATAAGTTTGTACATATTTATCTGTTTACTGGTAGTTCTACGTTTCTCATTTTCATTTCACTTTATTTATTTATTTTCCAGATCGTTACAAAAAAAAATCACAAAACCTAGCTCTATTCTGGCGGATTGTCAACAAGCAAAACAATTCACTGTGCAAAGACTCTTCAGTGGCGCCCATGATATATCTTTATGGATATATGTATTTGCTCCCGATTCCCTTTTGTAATTTAGTATGATCTTATAACTAATCATATTGGCGAATTACCTGTTAAATTAAATAATAATTTTTTTATTTAAAATTACATATTGTGCACAGGTTTTACGATTACCCCGAATTTTCGAACTGTAATTAAATTAATTGAAATTCAGTTTAATTGCTATCTTGTGCCGATATGTCTGCAAAAAACAAAGCACAGTGAAAACAAGAAAAAAAATCATAGAAATTAGTATATACAAAAAAAAAAATTATACAATGGTAATTATGCAAAAGTGTAACTCTATAAAAATGAATAAAGAATACACTTTGAGGATAACGGTATGATTTTTCAAATTTGATAGTTTGAAAATAAAGTAAAACACATTTATTACAACTAATAATTTGCTAATACTTTATTATAATTAATAATTTCTTCCATTTTGTAATTACCAGAAAGCCTTTGCAAATATATAATGTTTAGTGTTGTATTTCTATTTTACATACACTCTTTAAATTCTTTGGAAATGTTTAGAATATTTAAAGTTTGACATAAAATTATGGCAAAAAATAATTTATATAAATATCAAAAATGAAAAGAACGGTTGAAATTATAAGTAAACTTTTTACAATGGCAAACTGTCTGGCACACCCAGCAACATCATTTTTAACATTGCCCGACGGACAAATCTATAAACATTTTTTTCTTAAAATGAATCTAAAACCTCTCTATTGAAATATTGTTTGAAAGATCTCTTACTGTTATACGCTATATTGACAAACCATACATTACAGACAACCACCAACTCAGTGGTAGCAGGTCCCGCTAAATCCTTTCCGAGCCACTAGGGGCTCATAGGGATGGAGCTTATCCCCAGTTTCCGTAGTGTGAAGCGGATGAGAGTTCGTCGCAGGTTAGTCCCCACCAGTTTGCTGGTACCCATTGATACAGCTGGGTGCAATGTACCTAAATTGCCTTGCCCAAGGATACAAGCGAATCTGCACAGCGGAGACTCGAAACCACAACCTTTTGATTGAAAGTCCGAACCTCAACCGCTGCGCCAAATTGCCGCTTGTTAGTCCTCCATATCCTGTCTCTTATACACATCTAGATGTGTATAAGAGACAGGGCCTATATCGCTTAGGTCTCGCGCACGTCCATCTATGTAGCATGCTTCGGAACAACACCTCTCAATAACTTTAGTTCCGTACCGTTTAAGCCCAGAATTTCCTGTGTATTAGGGTTGTAATTTTAGGTAGCTTGATGTAGGCCTATGTTCTCATTTTTTCGACCTTGTTTAGGTTCAGATTGTTATCTGGGTCTAGTTATTAGGATTTTGTCATGGAGCAGATTTGTATACTATCCTACTTACCATTCCATCTAAACCCTTCCACCAGTCCCATCTAATCAACGTAGGCCTATCACATAGGCTAGCCTCTGATATTGATATGGACTTAATAGGACTAAATGGAAGCTGTCTCTTATACACATCTAGATGTGTATAAGAGACAGTATATATATTGACAAACAATACCTTACAGACAACCATCAACACAGAGGTGGCAGGTCTGGCGTTAGTAGATCTTCTGACAGCATTAAATGGTGTTGACGGTGCCCACGCTTTCCAAACTATGAGTCGCGACCCAAAAATGGATCGCCAAACTTTTGCGTTTGGTCGCGAGCAGGTTTGCAAAAACAATTCAATTTATGTGCTCATTTTCAGACAGTTGATGTGCAGTTTAACAGGTCTGAAGACTTAAAAACAGTGTTTTTGGTGAATCCTCATTAGATTAATATTTTATTATATACCCACAATAAATAATTTTAAAATCTGACTAATTTTTTTCTGTTGCCATTTACAACACAATTGTGTAAATGTAAGCTTTCAACAGTTTAAAAAAAATTATAGAAATAAACTTAAAACAGAAAATTACTGTCAGGTTACTTAAAAATAACATTATCCAAATTAATTTCAAATGTGTAACTATTGTAAAGGCAAACAATAGGCCTAATATACCAAAAAGCCCTTGTCATGTATTTTGGTTGATAAGATTATACAGTAGTCCGTGGAGTATTCAGTAGGGTGCTCGAGATGCCTGAGCACCCTCCTTTAGATGTTGAAAAAGTGCCCCTTTTCAAATGATAAAAAATAACATAAATTTTAATTATTATAGAGCCATTTGCCGGTGTCTAGAAGTCCCCAATTCCCAAAAATGTTCTCACCTCAGCTTCAATCATGAGGGGGCTCAGGTGGATATATAGATTATAGTTTTCATAAATTTTAAGTATCCAAGTGCGTTTTCGGACATTTATAAAATGTCAAATTTTTTAAATTTACTCATCTGTGCTCAAAAACCATTGTGGAGCTCAAAGCGGATATCGTAGATTTTGTACTATTCAAGTGCTATTTCCTGGTACCGTATCTAATTCATAAATTCTTAGAAATTCCTGACCTGAGCAACAAACTATAATGGGGCTCTGCTTGATATGGTAGTTTTTGAAACTTTAAGTATTTAAATGCCATTTTCGGGCACCTAATTAATTAATTCGGGTTTCCTGAATTTTAATACATTTGCCTATACCCGGAACACAAAATTACGTGATGATAAACATCAGACGGAAAGAGTTAGAAGAGTTTAAAAGACGGGTAGGCCTATACTCTATGTTCAACAGTGGACTGCGGTAAACTCCACTGTCGTATACTTCGCTCGACGCAGGGTTCTCGGATTGCCTCCCCAGCGGCGTGTGCGAAGCACAACTCAAAGCAGAAGTGGATTGAATTTGGTTTTGTAGTCAGATTTGCGTGAAAAAAATCAGCTACCCGTATTTCTCGACTGAGACGTCAGTGGGAGCTGTAATTTGTATGGCAAAGAGATGGTGCTACCCTTAATTCGTATTATGGAATTTACGCCCACAAACCTTGTAGTTATTAATATATTTGTTATAATATAAAGTGGTTTTTTTGGTGACGTCACACTGCTCTGTGTGGCGACATTGCATTCTTAGTGTAGTTTTATTGCTTTTGTCTGGACTGATTTTCGTGATTGTCAGTGATAATTATGGTTTTTAAATACCCGTTTTATAAAATGTTGATGTTCTTGACGTTTTTGATGTTTCTCCTGATTACAATGTGTTTTGAAGCTGAAAATAAAACCAGGCTGTGCTACTCACCTGATGAATTGCGCGCCATTGTAACTCAACCACTCCCGATACCACTTAACATACCTGGCATACCTGTCGAATTGAAACGGCGTAAGCGGGGTAGAGCCGGTGGAATCAGGAAGAGACTTAAGGCTAGGAAGTACAAACCTTACATCCCGTCAATGATTATCGGAAATGTTCAGGCTATATCTAACAAAGTGGAAGAACTACGAGCAAACGTGATATATCTACACGATTTTCGAAATGTTAGTGTTATGTCTTTCACCGAAACATGGCTGACAGAGGCTCATGCCGATAAACATGCAGATATTAAGGGATTTAAAATTATAAGAGGGGACAGAACAGCAGAATCTGGCAAGGACAAAGGAGGTGGTGTTTGTTTATATGTAAACGAGTGTTACTGTCACCCTAACAACGTTATTCGCAAGCTTCATCGATGCACCACAAATTGTGAAATACTCGTCACTAGTTTGAGACCATATTACCGAGAATTTTCGCATGTTATAATCATAACTGTGTATATTCCTCATAGAAATCTTTCGAAAAAAGCATCATGTGAAATATTTAATGTCATCAGTGATATTGAAAATGCTGCCCCCGATAGCTTCATCGTTATTAATGGTGACTTTAACCATTGTTCTTTAAAACGGAGTTCAACATATTTCTACCAACATGTTACATGTTGTACGCAGGGCAATAACATTCTAGATTTATGCTATTCAAATGTGAAATATGCATATGTGTCGTCGGTATTGCCCAACTTGGGATTATAAGATCACAATCTCATAAAACTTTGTCCGAAATACTTACCTCTAGTTCAACGCAGCAAGCCAAAGAAAGTTGCTGTCAAGAAATGGACACACGAGTCAATTGAATGTCTTAAGGGAGCATTCGAGTGCACAAATTGGGACGTGTTTAAAACATCTGCTACAAGCTTAAACGAACTTGCTGAATCAGTAACTGACTATATTAATTTTTGTGTAAACAGTATTATTCCAACTAAAGTTGTTAAGGTTTATTCAAATAATAAACCATGGATCACTAATGATGTTAAAAAAATTATTAATAAGAAAAAGGGGGCTTTTGGTAGAGGAAACTTAGATGAATTGAAATCAATTCAGAAAGAACTCAAATGTGCAATTCGTAAAGAAAAAATTAAATATAAGAAAAAAGTTGAAAATAATTTCACTAGTAATAACATCCGACGAGTTTGGAATGGTATGCGTTTGATGAGCTCACATTGATCCTTATCAATTTGCTTATAGATCTTCTAGGAGCACATCCGATGCAATTATACTTACACTTAATAAG